AAATGACTAAAAATAGATCTATTAGAAATGTCAAAATATTTATTTCAAGTGAAATACTGAAATTCCACCATAATTTGAGAACTGGTACTCCAAACAGAATAAAATAATAGACTGCCGGTAAAACCTAACTACCTAAAGATTTAAAACTAGAAAAAAATATTTGAATACCTATACCAACATAAATGCAGTAGGTATGACATAATAATATAATAAGACACAAGATGTTTACTTTAAATTTACATATTTTATACTTATGCCGGGTTCCATGGAAAATTGAATATTTAACATATGTTTAAGGGGCAATTACCTCAAAGATGTTCAGTATTAATTAATTTAATGTTTAGTGATTGCTAATTATAATGTACGGCACGACATAAATATTTAATATAGTTATTATAATGGTATTATAGACGTATAAACTATAAAAAATTCAAATATTACCTTTAACTCTGCTATAAGAGCATCAGTTGGCAATTTGTATTTTGATTGAACTTCAATACCATTTTTTTCAAGAAGTGTAGCACAAGAAGGATCACAAGCATCGCTGATGAGTACCTTTTTTATGGACACACGTGGACTGGACATGTTTGCAGACGAGTGTATGAGACAAGAGTGTTGTAATGAATGTCTGAATGTACTGTTTAGTGTTCAGTGTTCACTGTTGTATCCGAGTCACGAGAGTGAACAATAAAGTGGTTGAACTGGTTTTGGACGACACGAGTGGCGGGTGGTTCTAACCACTGCAGACGGCAATTTTTGATGATCAAGCAATTTCAATTGGTATTTCTTAATTCTTATCGATGTATATTAGACATTATATTATTGTACTATGAAAATTAATATAGATACTAATTAATAATTATTTGCCAGTCTTAGATTTGAACTCGTTTCTTTTTATAATCATTAATCACTTTCGTTAAATATAATCTTTTTTTTTCTATTGGTTTGGTCTTTGACCCAAGTGTAATAATTATTTTATTGCGATATATATATGTATATATTATATATGCATATATCGTACATGGCACCATAGGAAGGATTATTGAAGAAATGATTATAGTAATATTAATAATTATTATAGACATATAACAGTGTATAATCATTACAGATAAAGAATTAACCAATCATTTTTTTTTTCAGAACCCACTTCAAAAAAATGTTTCTTATATTTTTAAAACTATATACCTACCTAAATATTATATAAAACACTTGAATCGTCTAACTGAATTACAATGATGCACTACTATTTTGCTTTTAAGAAGAAGGACGCTACACCCGCATGTGTTGTCTCAGTCTTACAAATGTATAACACAGCAAAATCTATTAAAAATAACAACAACGTTGCACAGTAAAATATGTTCTCTTCTTTAAAGTGTGAAAATGTGGCTACTTAGCCTTAACTACAGTCCGAGTGGTTCTATTCCGTGCAAATCAGTTTTTGATACCTATATTCCTTTAGATTTTGTTAGACTTTTGCTATAGTTAATGTACGCTAACGAGTCCCAAAAAAAATCGTTAGCGCAATTGAGTTGTATCACCCCTTTTGATATGAGAGAAAATTCACCTGTTGTCGAACTTTTAGCTAAAAAAATTACCGATGCTATAGCATAGACGGTTTTTGATATTTTCATTTTCAAGCGAGATTTGAGCATTTTTAATTTGTGATATTTCACATACCATAGTATCTTGCTTGAAAATAAAAATATCAAATATTCAACGACGCTTAATCAGTAATTACAGATAATGTTCTCACCTAAAAGTTTGATACTAGGTAAATTACTAAATTCACTCTAATATAAAAACTAATACCACACTATTGGAACTAAACTAATGAACGAACATTTCGTAAAATTTCGTCATATCGTACATTGATAAGACGGAGACAACAAACGCTTGGGTAGCATCCTATTAAAATAATTTGGAATTGTAATTATAACTTTTAAAGCGATGTTAACATATTAATAATACTTCGTAATGATTTTCTTTAACATTTTTCGGTTTTTCCAAGAAGTATGAAATAATACTAGTAATTGCATTAGTGTTCTAAATTTTTAAATTTGAAGATTAAGAAAATAAAACTTTAAGAATAAAGTATTTTGATTACAATAGAACTTATATTTATCACACATAAATATTTTTTTGTCTAGCTGCCTACACTTGGCTAGATTATGATTTATGACTGAAATCGAACAACGCAGAGAATTTAATGAAAATGTTTTTTTTTTCTATCTTAAGTCGTCACATGCGTCATGAGTGTACATTGACTAAATGTACTTTTTTGAAGATTCATCATATTATTTGGTATAACTGAATGTCTGAATATCTCCTTCAATTTCGAATAGATAGGTAATATTGTTCTTATTTTAAATAATAGTTTTTATTTGGAGAATCTAGAGTTCAATCACGGTAGTGCGGGGTAGTACGATAAGATATATACATAGATAATAGAATTTTGTCGTCAAGACAGCCCACATCACTGTGAGATGTGCGCCGCTCGTAATGCTGTTGTTATACCCAGTAAATTCTTGTATATTTGTTTAAGGTCTATGCCTGAGTGCGTGACTGATCACATTATAAATTTATAAAATACAATATTAGTGATTACAACTACTGACAAATGAGATAAATAGTTTATAGTAATATATTTTAGATTATGGAAAGGATAGAATATTGTTGACAATCGTGCTCGACGCTCGCGGTCTTGCTAAGACCGTGTTTGCGATTAGTTGTTGAATAAAAATACCATTTATATTAATTAATAATTAAATTAAAGTTAATATTTTTTTTTTATCGTTTATTTAAAAATACACAATCTCTAAATGTTGTTTTACAATAAGTGCATTGATGGAGGTGACATGGCTTGAGTAGCTAAAGATAAGAAGCCGCCCATTGGAGGCACTTAAGGTTAGGATTTTAGGCTAGGATTTTAATTTGCTAGTAAGAGGGGGTGGGATTACAAAATTGAGGGGAGGTAGAGGTATAAACAATTTTAGATTAGTAGGTCACGACACCATGTACGTTTTAGACGCCTTCTGGGGTCACCAGGAATAGCGTTGGTAGATAGCTCGAAAATCAGGGGATTACGATGGCTGTGGAACTTGGAGTGTGTGCGTTTGTAGAAAGTTTTTGCGACGTTTTGGACTGTTGGAATGGCTAGATCTTTATGTAGAGTGTCGTTGAATACATAGTAGGGAGCTTTGGTTATTTGACGGAGACATTTTAATTGGAAGATTTGAATTTTGTTTAAGTTGGACTTTTTGGCTGCACCCCAGAGTTGGATACCATATGTCCAGATCGGTTTGAGTAGGAGTTTGTATAATAGTAGCTTGTTTTTTAAGTTGATGTGTTGTGATGTGAGGAGATAACGTAATTGGCGAGAGCGATTATTTAAGGCAAGTCTTTTGTTGTGGGTGTGAATTGCCCAAGTTAACCTGTGGTCTAAATGTAGACCTAGGTATCGGACATTTTGAGTGGTTGGGAGAGGTACATTGTTGAGGTAGATGGGAGGGCAGACTATTTGTCTTAATGTGAATGTACAATGGATGGATTTTGTTTCGTTGATTTTTATTCCCCAGTCTTTATACCAGGTTGATAAGAGATTGAGATGATTTTGTACGAGGTTTGAGACTATTTCGGGGTCGGAATGGATCGCTAGATGCGCCTTGTCGTCAGCAAAGTTAATATCAATTAAGAATAGCAATAAAATATTATAATAACATAATATAACTTGCCAAAGGTCCAAGAGGTCTTATAAATTAATTTTTATCGATAACTTGTACTTTTGTGTATTGCATAGTTTTGTTTAAAAGTTTAAAAAAATCCGTTTTCACACATTTTAGGTTTATGAGTATTTTAAAATTTTTTTAATATATATTTACTCCACACATTCATAGCCCTTATCCTTACTAGTTATTAGTAGATGTTGGAGCAAACTATAAATTTCCTTAGATTCTCTAATACCTAAAATGAAAATATAATACCTAATGACAAAAAATGTTAATGTATGTTATTATAAAAATTAATTACATTGTTCCATAAAAAAAACATATTTACATACATGATACAAAATATACATGGTTATAATAAGGTATATATTGAAAGTATAATAAATTATAATATACCTACTACAGTACTACATTTATAATCTTTATGTATATTATTACTATATATTATAATATATTATATAAGATATAATTATATAAAATAATATTATATATTGACATTTAAATTATATTGTATGAGCAAAAAAAAATTATATTTGTATGTATAATCATAATTCATATGTAATAAATATTTGATAAGCATGACACTGTATTGTTTCATTGATTAAAGAAAATTATGTAAATTTAATTAACTATATCCTAATAATTAATGTAATACTCTATTTGTTAATAAATTATTATTAGTTGGAAAAATGATTTCACAACAGGTATAGAAAAATGTAAATAAAAAGCTTTTAAATAAAAAAAAATATTAAAATATACTGACATTTTAATAACACAATTTAAGAAATTTATTTCCGAATCAAAATGTAAATTAAATTTTTATAGAATAACATAACTATTTTAAAAGCATGTATCTATTGTTCTATCGATAAGACAATTAAGCAAATTAAAATATCTATACCTATATCCTAATTAATGTTAATAGATATTACATATTTGACAATATATTATATAATTAAATACTAATTTATTTTAGGTAAAAAAATAGGAAAGTTTGAAAAAAAATTGATTTAAATATAGTGTTTAAATACATTTCAAAATTTTAAATATGTATAATATATTATATCTGTAAATATAAAAGTTATTAGTTGGAACAACTATAATACTTAGACTTCTGTACTCAATATAATTTATTTTAGATAAAAAAATAGGTAAACTTGAAATAAAAATTGATTTAAATAAAGTGTTTAAATACAATTCAACATTTTAATTTTTACCTAAAAAAAATTATATTAAGTACAGAAATATAAGTATTATAGTTGTTCCAACTAATAACTTTTATAAATAAGCTGTTAATTAAGACAAAAAAAATTATATCTTTTGTTTTTTTAGTTTTTCACACATTGACAAATCATTTTGAGAATACTTTCTTTTAGTACCATTTTCATTTTCATTAGAGTTTAAATTTGATGAGTTTTTAATATTATTTGGTAGTATAGGTATTTTGAAATCTTGTAAGTTGTTTTTATTTTCGGGCATATTTTCTATGGAGCTATCACAATAATAGCTTGTCATTTTTCCTGATAATTGACTGTCTTCTAGTAAAATGGATTTGTCCATCATTTGTTTCATATCATTATGTTGAAGGGATGGTTTTTTTGAAGTATGGTTATAAAAATAAAAGTTGGAATTATGGCTTTGTTCATCTTCAAATTTTTCAATCATATTTTCTTTACTTTTATTGATTGTGTATAGTTGATTGTCTTTAATATTATCCAATGGATTATCATTGTTAATGGATTGAGATGCTAACTTAGAATGAATGTCATCAGATTCATTAATATTTAATGAAGTGTTGATACAACCGAGAAAATCTGAAAAATTATACAACTCTTCTTTATTTACTATCGATCCTTTTTCAGTGTCATTTTGAGAAGTTTCCAAAAGACTACTGCTGTCTTTAGAAGATTTACTAATTCCTGATAAAAAATTATCATACTCCGGAACACTACCATCGATAAAATCTAAAGGAAAATATGGATGAACAATGTTTATTTTACCATCAGTTGATAAATCCATAAGCATATAATTTTCATTAACCAGTTCATTGGTTTTAAGTTGTATGTTATTTATAATTATATCCTTATCTGAAATTGTTTTCACTTCTTTAGAGGAAATATTACAATCATTTGATACCTTTTCTGCTGGGTTAACTTCTTTGTATAAAATCTTACAATTATTTGATGTTTCTTCTACCATTTGTATAGTTTCAGAACTTTTAGATTTAATTTTAGAAGAACTTTGTATTTTTTTTGAAAGTTTTTTCGGAGAACTAGTTCTTTGTACATTTTCTTTTTCAGAAACTGAATATTTTTTAAATGAAATTTCTGGATTCTTTAAAATTCCTTTATCTGAACTCCTTGTTAGCAATGAAATACTATTACATGTTTGTTTTGGTTTTTGTCTTAAAGTTTTTCTTGAATTTAAATTTGTGTTTAAGATGTTTATATTATTATGAGATAACAAATTATGTTTAGCTTCTATATTATCATCTCTTCTTACTGACAATCCTTTTTTTTCAAAAAGAACTTTTAATTTATTTTGTGTAGAGATATTTTTTTTATCCTTATTTGTTTTAAGTATGGGAGATTCAGGAACTTTAAAAACTGGTTCAGACTTAACTAAATCTATAGTTATACCAGGTAATTTTTTTAACTTTAATATTATGTTATTATCTGTATCATTGGTATGGTTTATACTGGTTATAGTTACTTCTTTTGAAATTTTTAAATTTGATGGAACTATTGGTTGTTCTTTCTGATAAATCATCGATTCTATTTTTCTAGAAAAAAATTTTTAAAAAAAATTTTTAATTTAAATTGTTAATTAAATATTAAAACATATTTTAAAACAAATCAAACTGTTCAAAAAGATTTTCAAGAATAGGAAATAATAAAATAATAATTTTATACAAATTTTAAATATCTACGGTTATTCGTTTTGTAATTACAACAAAATAAGGGGAATTAAATGCAATGAGAAATCTAGTTAATATCCAATGTTGTAAAAATTTGTAGTTCAAAGGATCATCAAAATAAAATTTGTTTTTTCAGTAGACTTTTTTTTTCTTGATAAAGGTAAACAAACTTATGGGAAATCCTGTATTAATTTTTCAAATCTTGGATTTAAATTTAAATTATTATGAAGTTTAAACTCAAAATAATTTTCAAATTTTCGTGAATTTTACGATTTCTGTCAATATTTGAATTATAGAAGCTTATAAAAAATTATTGTGGATTAACTTTTTTTTTTTAATTTCCACTATCAACAACTTACGAGGAACTTTTTCAAGTTTTTTGACAGAGCAAAAATTTTTTTATTGATATTAATTTAAAAAAAACTAATAATAATCAAAAATTTCATATGCCTACATAAATACATCATAGCTCAAAATGAGTTAAAATATTTTTAAAATGTTATGGTGTATGGAAAATGCACCCCAGTTCATATGTTATGGTGTGGACTGTGGGATGATAATACAAATAGCAAGAAATCTTGACAGATGGTAAAGGTTAGTATAGAATCGTATAATGGCCTTAAAGGCCTTAATTACAAAAAAAAAAACATTTAATTTTAACGTTTAAGTAGGATAGTAAAGCTGTTTGGTGTTGCGTATTACTATCATTATTATAAAGAAAATACGACTGATGACTGACGAATGATAGGTACAAACCAGTGAAATACTTGTATTGCAAGATCTATTAAAGTGTATAGGTAGACATTATTAATAATTTTACTTTCTTAAATTCAAATTTTATATTGAGTGTTTAACAAATATCAAACCTGTTATAATAATTTGTTTAATTTTATTTTCTAAATTTACTTGGGAAAGTGATCATTGATGAGGGAGAATAATCTTTGTAATTATTGAAAAGATGACCTGAGGGAAATGTATGTATTTTTCAAATGAATATACTTGTTTAATTCTTATAATATAAATATATATAGCCATAATGGTTGGTACTTTAAATTTTAACTCTATAAACCGGTTTAAATATTTAATTTATGCAAATTAAATCATGTATAGCCGTATAGGTACATATTAATCTGGGCTTTAATAACTACCTAAATATTTTATTTATCATTAAAGGTAGGTACTAATCATTTTTATGATAAATAAAAACCATATTTCAATTGAGGATCTTATACAATTTTACAGTACCTTATATCTCGATTCATTATTTTTGAAGAACTTTGTGACGTTTCTGATATTGGACTCAATTTGACTCTTGAGTTTCTAACATTTTTACGTACCTGTAAAAATAAATAAATAACCCTTAAAAATGGTATTACAGTGATTTTATTGAACGTGGTATGACACTGTGACAGTGATACTGTATAAGTCAGCATATCATAGGTATGTTATATTACCTACATTTATTAGTTATAAGTTATTATGTTATGTACAAGTTGTGAAATACGGCTATTTATTTAACATATTTCTACCTTTCCCCCCCCCCACCCAAAAAAATAAATAAATTATACAAGAACAAAATTTTTTTTCGTAGGAATTTTTTAAAATGTAGGTATAGCCATATAGGAAATACGATTGATTATAAATACTTTAGTACTATACTATACTATAGTATTTATTTATTTATCAATGGTAATACATTTACATATATAGATTATAAGTACCAGAAATTGTATTATTTAATTAACTAATCATGTGGCCAAGTTTGGGGCATAGGAACAAGGCCGTAGCCAAAAATATATTTAGGGGGAGGGGGTGAGTATAAATATGTTATTTTTTAAAATAAAATATGAACATATAAAAATATAATTTAAATTAAATTAATCTTTATTTAAAAAATAATTAAATCTTATTTCAAAAAAAATCCTAAAGAAACCCTAAAGGTTTCCCCCCCCCCCTGGGCCCTGGCTACGGCCTTGCATAGGAATATGAAAACAGTCCAGGTCTCATTTAGTGATTTAACAATGTAAAAAGTTATGAGTCGTTAAATCATGCTTAAGGTCGGTGCTATACATGCGGATATTCGCAGCAAACGTTCTGCAGTTTTGAAACACGCCGCAAAATTTTTTTGTCAGCTCTAATATATTCACATGTATTTAAAACAACATGTTTTAATAATATCCGCGGAATCCGCGGATAAATTTTCCACAAGTGGGACACCGGTCTAGTGACTATATCAGCTCACTTTTGATTCATTAAATATTTAGTAGGTATAATAGGTATGATTGTTTATGAGACCCAACACCCAACATTAGAAAAAAATGAAAATACAGTCGACTCTCGGTAACTCGAAGTTCAAGGGGGAAAAAAAAAATTCGACTTACTAAAAATTTCGAGTTATCAAAAACTTTTAAAAAGTATGTTTATTTTTAAATTAAGTATTATACATTAAAAAAATTAAAAAAATGTTTTCTTACATTCCTACTTACATATTATTATCATTTTTAAAAAATTGGTGTAAAGTTAATTGTTTTTGTTTATTTAAAACATTGTTCTCAATTCTATTTTCTAAAGTACCTAGTGGTTTAAATAAATCTTCCATACCTTCATTGCCTTCAATATATTTACGTAATGTTTCTAATGCAAGTAATAGAACTATAATATATATTTCTTTTTTTAAGAAGATTATAAAGAGCCCCACGCCCCCACTATACACGTACATATATATATATTTATATACATATTATATATATATATATAATATATATTATTATCATTGATCATGCATATAGTAGTACTGTAATATTATTAATTTATTTTCTATAAAAGAAATTGTTGAATAATTCATGAACATTAATAGCAAACGCTTAACTAAAGTAAGTCTGTATAGACGTTTATATAGTATAATGGTTTTCAGTTAGTAATTATTAAGTACGTTTTTGTATTTGTATTTTTAATTATAAGATTCTGACTGTAAATTATTATATCTCGTTTTAGCAAATTATAAATTAAAAAGTGTTTTATAATTAAAAGTATTTGATAATACGATGTATCTATACATGACTTCATGGTTACAGTCTATACTTATTTAATATACATATCTATACATATAGAACCTATAGGGGTTCTAAGAATTTTGAATCTAAATTCTAGTTTTGAATATCTCTCTCCCCGTTAAAATCCTAAGTACGCTCCTACCTATCGAGAATAGGTACCTAGCTGTTACTATTACTTGTTAACCTACTGGCTACTATCGGCACTAACAGTTATACAAGCCGTAACTATACTTAACGAATAACTTCAAATGCTCAATCAATCATTTATGCGCATACATAAGTGTTAAATATGAAGGTATCTAGTTAATTAGTTAGCTTTTACTACATTTTAATTTTTAATACATTATATTACTAATTAGTAAGCCATGAAAGACATCTGTTTATTGTTCTATTATGCAGTCGAGGACAAGAAAATTAGATCTAGTCTCCACGGCCCGCTGTTCATAATTGCTGTTGTGAACATTGTTTTAAAGTATAGGTATAGGTCATAGGTACTCAACATAATAATAATAATAATATTAATAATGACAAAAATAAAATGACGCTTCAGAGAGCGAGGCACTTTGCGATGAATATCATTAATTTTTAGCCACACCACCCACGTCCATTGCCGCAGTCTTGAGCAAATGCCGGCCGCTTGATGTTACTCTTATTTGAGGCCTAGTATACTATAGTATAAGTATACAATATATAACATTATTATAATACAGTATGATATATTATATCATAATTCATAATGTAATACCCACTACAGACTAATACATATGAAGAGACGGACTAAGACTCAAGACTGTAAACGCCTATTTTAACCTCTGTTTATAGCGAAGACCCCACATTCACGAAAATTCACAGGAGCAATTATTAGTATTCTTACATTATATTACGAATAAGTAGTCGAATATTAGCCTAAACATAATAATTATGGCACAAATATCAGTATTGCGCGAACATATAAGAAACACGAACTTGTTAAAGTGTTACTGTTATTTATTACTTATTACGTATAATGTTCCAAATATGGATCTTAAAAGAGAAAACATTTTTCCTAGAAAACAAAATAATTGAAATAATATGTCAATTTAAAATGATAATTTTAAGGTATCTAATCACTTGAAAAACGCAACTTTTCGTTTTACAAAATATTTATATTATCATATACAATATATACAATTATATAGACATGATACAATTTTTTTTTAATTATAAAATGTTTGTTTTTTTGGTAAAATAGTTTAAAAATGTTGTACAAGATTCTTCATCAATTGTTCTTGAAGTAGTTGAAATATATAAAAAATACTATAGGTATAGAGACAATGTTTTTTTACATTAATTTTAAGTTTAAATTTTGACATATCTAAATCTTTAACGAAAAATAATAATGACTTTTTACTTTTTAGAGATTTTTCTTTTAATTCAAAAAATGTATTAAAGCTGTAGACTTTTTTTTCATCACTAATATTATGCATTTTTATACACTATGGTAATTTAAAAAATATTTTACTAATTTTAATCTGCTCACTACAAATCTATTCACATAATTCTGCTGCACATCGGTAGAGAATTATAAATTAATAACTGGTTATAATAATATATTTGAAATTTTGTATTATACATGCAATATTTTTGGAAAATAGTATATTACTAGTACAGTGTATTATTCCTACTAACAGAAAACAAATTAATAATAGTAGGTATACATTATTATAAAAGAGTCTCATTAAAATAATTAAAAAAACTACATATCGTGACTAGCCCGCTAGGTATTAGGTACCTATGTAAATAAAACGGTCGTCTACATTATACTTACAGGCAATGGTATCATCGATTGTTTCTGATCGTTTGCACACCACCCGACTTTAGTGTGCAGTTGATTTTCGTTGGACATGTTAGTGCAATTTATCGCAGAGTCAGTATACGAATAATAATAATATTGAGTATTATGCAAATTTCAAACCCAAGATGGTTGTGTGAAAGGTGGACGAAAAAGACAAAAGACGTTTTAACGAGTGAGACGCTGAGACGACGACGGACAGTGGTCAATACTATTCAAGAGTGGTGAAGAAAAGAGATGACGAGACATAAAATAGAAGAGCTTATTGGAACTTGGTCCATAGTCCATAGATGGGTATAGACCATCGCGCCTACCGGGTTGTGGTTGAAGGGCGTTGGCCAATCGCATGTTCGCATTCCGAAAGTTTTACAGGGTCCTTGGAGAAGATCGTTCTGAAAATAACCGGGGTCACCGGTAGAACCTGCATCGGTGAAAGATGGACAGTAATTATATTATTATTACTATTTTTGTATTTTCTATTTTTGCTATTCGTTAGGTATCTCTGAAAAATCTAAACATTACGAAATCGCGACCACCGATTCAATTTCTGTGACTATTACCAAGTACCTACTGCTATTATAGGTATGATTATAATCTAGGAACAATAATAATATCTATTTAGTATTTGACTCTTTATAGGCTAGTGGGAAATAATTTCCCTGCAAGAAAAAAATTTAGTAGATTGTGGAACATAATTTAATTTGGTTCAAACAAATAATTCTACATAGTTTCTGCATTTAATGGTAAGTATATTGACGTTTACTCTCACGCGCTACCAATGAGTTATTTAAATACAATTTCGGTGAGAAACAATAATGCCCTACTGCACACTCCTAAGACATTTTTATGTGCGTCTTTAGTCTTTAAAGCCATAAAGTATAAATTATTAAAGATTAAAATGTTATTACTTATTAATATTATTATGAATAAACCATGACACAAAACTGTTGAACTGTATGTCAATACTACTCTAAGCCCTAAGGGAGCTACTGAGTTACAACTTACAACTGTAAGTGTAAGGCATAAGTACTACTGCTAATAGGTAAAGCATAAGGCGTTACACTGTGTGAGGTGTAACATATTTACTAATTAATAATAATCATACTAATATTATGTCGTTTATTGGCAATACGCTATTAACGGTGGATATGATAGAATCGATAAATGATTTGATAACGAAATACCAACTAAATAAGGACATTATATTTTAATTTATGTAGGTAGACGTGTATAGTATTGTAGATACTAGATTGTAGTACACAAATGCCTAATAATATTAATTTACCTCGTTTCTTCTCATTTCACACAATCACACGGCGACGGGTATGCGTACATGGCGTACTGACGACCATTGCGATGTGCCTATGTGGCACGCCGCGTGTATCCGTAGCGTAAGACCATAATATTTTTACAATATACTATGGTAATAATTATTGTAATAATATTATTATTAGCATAGTCATAGTGTAGACTGTAGAGTGTCCTTAGAAGAAAATATAATTTAGTAATCATTAGAGTATGCTCAAGTACCATGATTAGATTCTCGTTTAGAATCAATTTTTTTTTAAATACCTTTACCGTTATAGGTACTGTTATAATAACGTATCAATAAGCGGACGCGAAACT